GACACATTCGAAATCCCACCCACTACGAAGTGTGGATTAAAAGAGAAGCCCAGGACGTTCGGTGCGGTATTAACAGACGTGGGGGGGGGGTTTGTAGGAATTTAAAGTAACACTTCAGAGCGAAGAATAGAAGGCTCGAGCTTGTCATCTACGTGCCCAGAGATGTCCAACAGCATGAAATAATTTACTTTAATTTTACTTTCAAAGGTATAAAACTGGATTAAACTATTCATAAAGCGCACACATACAAACACTCACTTATTTTATAATTCAATTTTTGATTTATTGTATGTGATTTATTTTAAAGGGTATTTCTTTATTTTCAGTAAGCCTTGTGAACTTTATTATGCATGTGCATGCATTGTCGACAAATCAAGCATTTGTTCAAATGAGAATTTTGTGAAAACAGGAGACAAAGGTGTCGTGAAAAACTTTGATAAAAATAAATTGCTAATGTGCTTGAGAAATCCCTATTTATAGGAATGGTTAATAGAGTTTGTGTGTTTAAATGTATTTTCGATATGTTAAGTTACGATAAAAAATCCAGAACAAAAGATCGAATGGAATCGCAATAGGCATAAGTATAATGACAAAACTCTCAAAAAATGATTGAATTGGTTAAAAACATTTTAATTACAATGTTAATTGTGATAGAAGAGCTGAGAAACAGCAGAAAATGTGTGTTTATGTACCTTTTGATTTGTTTGGAATTTTCGATGCATGGAGGGATAATCTGACGCAATAACCTTGACATTCCTTTATTCAGGTGATGTCTTTCTCCATTGCGTCGTTTTCATATAAGAAGTTTCTTAACAACGACTCTGGGAAGGCGTTATTACATAAAAGATAATGATGCATGCAAAATACAAATGCTAAACAGATTAAGATTTATCTTCCTGTTGCATTGCGATAACACGCTGCTCAGAATATTTAAATTGCAAATTTCTTTTTTGATTCTGATAAAAACTGATTACAAAATATGAGGTGTTCTACGAAAGAAGAAAATGTATTTTACATTTAGAATTACGTTTCTGAACAATGCTTTTAATACGATAATTTTCTTTTTTTTCTTAGCCCAAAGGGGCGTTTAGATCCAAAGGGCTATTAGTTTCAAAACGGCATTTTGCGTCGTTTCACTTTTCAAATTGTTGCCACCAAATATTATCGCCGTGTTATCGCCCTTTGGGCCGTAATGTAAAATGTGAAAGTTTTCAGATTTTTTTATTTAATATTTCGAAGAAAAATAATAAGAAAATTTGAATTTTCTTCTTAATTTGCTAAGAAAATAACTGCCGCTTTCTGAGGATGAAGAGATAAAGATCACATCTAATCCTTTAGATTCTATTTTGTAACTGTAAGTTGTCATAAACTCTGACTTTGCGACATGTGTAACTTTTCGTACAGACGTACTGTACATAAAATAAATATAATATGCAAAGTTTTCAAATTCTGCGTCAAAAGTCTTGCAGTAATATCGTTAAGGATTGTGGAAGCGTTTGAAAAATGTAGCAGTCTGAAGCAAAGAAGTAAGTCTAGTTGTTATTGCTGTGTTCTCTTCTTCAGTTTGTGTACTTCAGTTTCTAATAACATCGACACCCTTTCCTTCAACTTTAGCGGCCCACCAGCGGCCGAGCGGTAAAGTCGCTGAACACTGGTAGTTCGGTCCGAGGTTCGAATCCCACGAACGGGCTGGCTGCATGGGTGTTTTCGTGGTTTTCCCCATGTGTAACGTGTATACGAGCCAGTTTCCCTTAGAAAGTCCTTCACGAAGGCATCCCTCCTCTTAGGGAGATAGCCCTAGTGTGCTTTGCCCTAATTAAATACACCAAACACACCTTAAACTTTAGCCACCGTTGCAAGAGGATGAGATCAAAAAGCCATTTTCTGAATCCACTATATAAAATATTCATTATGCTTTAGGTTAAAAACGAAAAACTCTATGCTACTCTTTAGAAGTGAAATTCGCACAAATTTTCTCAATAAAAATTTTGACGCTAGCTACAAATTAAAAAAAAAAATTGTGTTTTATTTAAGCTGAAGGTATAAATCATTAAAACTATCAATTCCGCTTTGCAGCTGATTCTTAACCGTGCTTCTAAAAGCTAAATTTAAACCAAAATTAGCATGCATAAATGAATAAAATCACAGAATTCATTCATGAATATCTTCGTCAGTTTTGAACTTAAAAGTAAGAAGGCTTTTGTTTTAAATTTATTAATATCTTATGAATATCTTAACAATTAAAATTTTTGTTAAGCATCATATAAAAATTTAGATTTTAGAGAATTCCCCCCCCATAATGTTTAAAGTATTTTTAAAAAATTCTCTGCTTTTACGCATATTTATAATTGAACGTATAAAATTAAAACCAATTATGTAACCATCATTTTCGATTACCCTGCATTAAATTACAGCATCATGTTTAATTACCCTGTATTAAAAATAGCTTCTTTATATGATAAAATTCGTTATTACCTTAAGAAGACAATTACTTGTATTTCTCTATACTTAAGAAATAAAATCTCAGAAATTCTCGCCCTCGGGTGTCAAACAGTGTGATATCCTTAATAATACTAGCTAACATAACTTTACTTCTAAAAATAGATAAATATATTTTCCCTTCAATGTAATTAAAACTGTATAAAACTAAAAGCCATATAGTTCTAGAAAGCATGTTAATTCGAAATTTTTAAGGTGCCCTCAAGCAAAAAATGCTACATAACTTGTTGTAAAGTTATAAGGTATTTCTCCCACATTCTTGACATGCCTTCGTGGTGTGGTGGTCTGCATGCTGGGCGCGTATTCCAGAGGTCCGTGGTTCGATTCCCGGCGAAGGTGTTGCATATTTTTCATCTTTCCTGCTTCAAAAAAATAACCTAATGTTTCTACAGTGCCGCCCGAAATAAAAGGCTGTGGGTGATGATTCTCCTCACCCAGGATTTGGCCTAAAAACCCCAGTCGCCCTTTAAAAGGGGGAGTATATAAGGTACTCTCGTCTTCTTGGCATGCCTTCGTGGTGTGGTGGTCTGCACCAGCTACTTCCAAAGGCACAACATCTCATCAACAGATATATGCGTCTGTGGAACCCCAGGCAACCCAGACCACTATCTTTTCACCTGCCAGCTGACAAAAGACCATCACCTCCCGTGTCCAACCATGAACAGAGATGCGTACCACTGCTTTATCATCATTCACAATACAGCCATAACCAAAGCTATCACTCATATCGAGGCAATGGGCCAAAATATCTGCTCACCGCAATAGACCAAGACCCATCCAGCAACTCTAAACACGATCATCTTTTCGTCCCCCCGACTATCAACCTTCAAAAGCTTTTCACTAGGGTCCACCCCCACAAGTTTTTAAACAAAAGCTCCCCACTACAGTCTTAACTTTGCACACGACATCTTCTTTACAACTTACCTACTGGGGTGTGCTAGCAGAGTACAACTGTGTCCCTCAAAGTCCTTAATGCCTACATCACCTTCCAACCTACTGCAATGCATGTACACCGCACTATACATTATGCACATCCGACGATGCTAAGCACTAGTGAACACATCAGTAACTTATACCTACACCGTGACTTAGATAATTCTCTTAAAATGTTCACGTCATAGTAAATGTGCAACCGTTGTGAATGGTACTGAAATTACCGTGCTAACTAGTGTCTGGCTGTAGCGACTGTACCAACCTAAAGAATTGCGTTTAAAATAGTGACTGTGCCAAACTCAAATTAGTGCTATTAGTACCACAATGTACACTAAACTTCAGTGTAGCCTGAACTCCTTCAAATTTGAACTATAAGGGATTGTACTTGAGCGAAACTCTAACACTAACTATGGCACCATAATTCTACATCCGGTACTCATTGCTTATCTCTGTGTTTAAGTACTACAGCACATACAACCACAGGACCAGCAATACACATATGACTCCTTTACCCCATTCTGTATTTAGCTTTTTTTTTTTTTTTTTTTTTTTAGTAATTAAGGTTTTTACTCTTGATTACTTTGTTTACTTTGTATTTACATATGTGTCTCTGTTATATTTATCTTAATATTGATGCATCCGATGTTTCGTATCGTTAGTAATTTTGTTTTTGTTGTACATGTATCTATTCTTGCATTTGTTGTATATTTTATATCTGTGTTATTCCAACGGCCCATGCACATCCAAAAGTTATGTCACGTAACCATTGTCAAACAATAATCCTCAGTCCCTGTTTGGCCATGTATTGATCTTTAGATCTGTATTATAACTCCCGAGCAGTCTCACGGGGCCCCAGGGAGTTGTTTATTCTAGGTAGGGGAGGGCGTGGGACACACGCCTGTTTACCTATGTTAAACACCAGGCGTCCCCGTCCTCCGTCACGTGTCACTTGTGGTGGTCTGCACGCTGGGCGCGTATTCTAGAGGTTCGTGGTTCGATTCTCGGCAAAGGCGTTGCATATTTTTTATTTTTCCTGCTTCCGAAAAATAACCTAATGTCCCTACAAAGTCTTCATCAAATATACTCTTCTTCATCGTGAGCATTATACATAAAGAAAAATAATATTTGCCTAAATTTTTATTTAAAATTAGAAATACATTCTCTTCTTAAAAATCAGATTAATTCTCAATCTTCGAGAATAAGTATCTTATACAATCGTTAAGTATATTGCATACGCAAAAATTATGGGCCGTTTAAAATAAAACAGTTTTCTATAGCTACAGTCACGGTTGGTCAAAAACTGCGTGATTAGTTTTGATTCAGAAGCAAAAGTTCAAAGTCTTGTAGCACATAAATAACTGTTTTCCTTTTCGAAATATAGTAAACAGTATCTTTTAAAAATTTACTTTACAAAGTGGATTAGAAAAGCACTCTTAAAAGAAATAATACAAACTAAGAGATAAGCACTCTGTATGACTTTAAATTGCTTTTTGCCGTTAAAGAGATACGTCAAGATAAGTTTAAGTGGACAACTTCCAGTTGAAGAAACATAACTAAATTGAGCTCACCTTTTTCAGCGGCGTCCTGTGTGGCAGTGTCTGTCTCATCATCCTTGAAGTAGGGGTTATCAAAGGCATAATCATTTGTTTCACGGACGATTAGCTGTTTGTCCGGAGACATAGGAGGGCAAGCGATTGGTTTCCCTGATTTATCATCATCGTAAACACCTGCATATAAAAGACGATATACTTGAATATTTTAGCATTATTATATAAATAAAGAATAACCAATAGTTTAACCAACAGGTAAAATAATCAAAGAAAATTTTCAATAGAACGGTTTCCTTCGTCAGAACATAAGTTCTGACATTTCAAGTTAATTTTTCATGAAGCACCCTTGAGAAAATTTCCACTCATATGGAATTTTCAGGCTATTTGCAGCATGTTCTTTCACTATAGCAGAAATTTTATTGTTTCCCAAGGGAAGAAGGGAAGCAAAATTAGCGAGACTGTGGCTGAATAAGTAGTGAAAATTAGTTAAAATTTCCCGGCTTGGGGTTTACACTAACAATTTGACTAAAATTTTGTGATCGAGGATTTGCATTCACATTTCGGTATTCACATTAAATACACATTTCATACATTAAAAGAAATACCTACAAGAAACGAAGTATTAAAAGGCATTTAAACATACATTATATTATATATATTTTAAAAGAAACGTACATTATGTTTCTTTGTACATAAATGTACAAACGTAAATAAAGCAATTAAATTAGGAAGCATATGTAACGGTCTTATTTTACATGAAGTTTACCATTTAATTACTAGTAAATTTAGGCATGCTAAGAAGACGGGAGAAATACCTTATAACTTTACAACGAGTTATGTAGCAGTTTTTGCTTGACTTGTTAAATAGTGCTTTTATATGTTACATTGTACATTCATAGATTTGCTTCATTGAATAGCATGGTTTTAAAAGAGTATCTTTCGGAATTAAAATAGTTTGTTGACAATGACAGGCAACGGAGAACAATTTTTTGCATCCTCGGAAATGAAATTTGGTACCACAAAAGCCACCAGAAACTGAGGTTTCTTCTGGTAGTTTGGAAATGAGGTAAGTTCTGGTTTGCATTTTTGAATATTATTGCTTTGCATCATAACTATTTAATTATAAAACGAATCTTACAACAGTAATCAAAAAGTGACAAGAAAAATCATGTTTTGCGAAGTCTTAGAAAATGCCCTAATATTTACAAACTAATCGCGGAATATCGCGCTGCGAAATCGTTACCGTCCTATCTATCAGATATGAGATTAAGTGTTTTTGTACTCTTGCACGATTTGCTTAGATCTGCTTTCAACAGAATTAAGTTTTTATTTAAGAAGTCGTATCATTAATGGTATCTGTACATATCCGTTGGGGCTCACAACTCACATAAATCTCTAAATATTACTAATATTAAGTAGTTGGCACCCCAGAGTATGGTAATTAGCGGTGGAAATTGTAAAATCTTGGGTAGGCATAGAATTTTGTTAGAGACATACCAGCATGCATCTGGCTCCATAAAATCATTTCACCTTTAGTAATCCGGGCATGATATGATATGAGGGACTCCGTGCGACCCTGCTGGAAGACTTTTACGTCGCCCTATGGCCTTTTTGCGGGCTGCGCCAGAGCAAGCTTGAAACAACCAAGAAAAAGCATATATGAAACTTTGGACACTGCCTTCCATCATGCTCTGGACCAAAATTAAGATTACCATTTTCAGCGATTTCATTCTTTTGCCAAGATTTCCAAGTTCATGATGATCGAGACATGCATTTCCCGCCTACCTCCAAAAATAATCGTTATAGGGTTAGCCACTGTCATAGATTACCAGAGATGGAAGAGAGGCTGCAATATTATTTCTGTCTTTAGAGCTAGCTCAATGAATTCTTTGCAGTTCGACGGCAGCGGGTGGTGAAATTCTTAATATACTCTGTAGACTCATTAGGTTATTTTGATGCTGGAGACGTGAAAAATGAGCAATGCCCTCGCCGAGACTCGAAACTGGACCTCACGAATACGCGCCGAGTGTGCTAACAGTTACACCACGAAGGCATACAGAAAGGAGGGGGAAAATACCTTATAGGCTTTATATTCACCGTACACAAAATAATCCATAAGCATGTTGGAATTACAAATGTGTATTGGAATTGTCGATTGTACTATAAAAGTGGACTCGTGCAAATGCTATTAATGCCGAAATATGTCAACAGGAGCAAACTTGGAATAGGTCAGAAGACAAAAAGGTGTGTAGCCCCTTTCGAGGAAATTCCCTGCTACGTCATCGACAGGTAATTTTTTTTTTTTTGTGTGTGGCTTCTCTCGTAACGCGTATTTCCACTTTCGCACAGACGCTCCAAAACACAGCTGTGGCGACAGTCAGGAACCTACACACATCCGACCACGCTAAAAGGAGCGAGAATTTAAAATTGGGGACGCATGACACACGATCACCTGTTGTGATCACGTGGCCAGATACCGTCAAGGAGAATAAATTCTTTTCAACGCCCGCAGAATCTGCCACGGCACCAAAAATTATTAAAGAAAATATAGCCTCACGAAGTTGTTTTGTATAGGATCAATCACAAAGGTACGTTACTAAACATCTGTTCACGTTCTCACTTTTCCCAGTGAAAATGTACTATAAAAGTGGAATATACTATAAAAGTTAAATGAGAATGCATCGACGCTTAATCTTCCAGTGAAAATGTACTATAAAAGTTAAATGAGAATGCATCGACGCTTAATTTATGCTATTAGTAGATTCTCAAGTAAATATGAAATGCTTATCATATTATTTGATGCAATTTCACAGGCCTTTTTTTTTTTTTTTTTTTTTTTTTTTTTTTTGTATATGTGATCCTTAACTGGATTTGGAATAGTGCACAAAAATTTAATACTGTTCTTTATAGTAATATTAAAAATAGAGATAGATTGAACAGCTAAGTTTTCACTTTTAAATTTTTTAATACATTACTGAAAAGTTTTCGGTTAGTTACAAGTTAAAATGTTTCGAACTCGGTCAAAAATAAAAATTACTGAATATATTATAGAAGGCACTTTTTAAAAACAAATACCATTTACTAACTTGTACTATGGCAAATAATTGAGTTAATACGTTGAATAATTAAATTTAAAAAGTAAATAATTAAATATAAAATTTAAGATCAAATTTAGCCCCTGACGTTTCCAAGTAATATTCACAATTCAAGCGAGATTTGAATGTCAGATTAGGTGCACAGATTAGGGTGCCATCGAAAAAAAAAAAAAAAAAAATCTTTCCTGAAATCGAATTTGGAAAGTTGGATAAATGGAAAACTGTTGAAAATAAACAAATAAAAGAATTAAAGTTTTTAGTTGGCATATATAAGATTATTACAACAGACGCATTGTTTTAGTTTTACTGATTTTAATTCTCGTAAGTTATTCATCGATCGATCATATTAGCAGATTAAGCCCATAATTGACAAAACATTTATGCAAAAATGCTCAGTGTGTCATTTTTCTCCCCATCCTTAATGCTAGGTGCCCAACAAAAAACATTTACTCTTGTTTAATACCACTTACTCCTTTACCAGCATTGCCTCTCCCCCCCCCCAAAAAAAAATCTGATGTTTAGACCACATGATTTCCTTGTACGGAATATTCAATTACACGCATTTCTCCTGCTTTTCATTTAAACTTTATTTCCTCGAATTTCATTAGAGATATATTTCTCATTCAATTAATTCACTTCTCACTTTGCAGCAAGGCAAAAAATACATAAAAATTCAAAAATTCTTCATTAAAAATTGTAAAATAAACATAAAACACCAAATACAGTTAAAAACAGTTACAAAAAAAATTTTTTTTTAAGTTAAAATTAGAGTTTCTACGCAAAAACAAGAAATTCGGCTAGCAGGCAACAAGGCAGCTTTATCGATGCACAAAACTGAAAGTTTATTTTTGGTCCCACTAGGCAAAAAAACACTTAAGATGCAGAAACTGAATTCACTATTCTGCAAGGTTTAAAAGGTAAACAAATATGGCTGCTATGGCAAATAAAAATTAGCATTTAGCCGTACTCAAACAATTTTTAACTGGAAGATAGGAATAACATAACTCCATCATTTTTAGAGCAAAAAATGTACAATTTACCATATAAGAATAAAATAAAAATAACTATAAGAATAAAAATAACTGAGCTGAAGGAGTCGAGTAACAGAATGGGTACATATACATATTTTTTGTGCTGCCGATTGCAACCAAAAAGGGAGGTGCACAACTACATGTTGTAGCAGTTTTTTATACAAGATTTCAACTTTCTACGATTAATCTCTCTTGAGTTATACGAGATACATACATATATACGTAAGTACAGATGTTGAGAAATAAATCTTTTCTAAATCCATTTTAAATCAATATTATAACCCATTTGGGAAAAAAGAGTTCTTTATTCTGTTCTTACGTACAGATATCATGCAAAAACATTGTTAAATCACATTCGATAACGGTTAAAATGGATATTTTCGTTGAAATATGACACTCGGAATTTTTCGTGATTAAAATACGTCGTTTAATTCGTACAAGGACGTAAAAACTGGGAAAAAGCATTCGCAATAATTACTATGTTGTTATTTCGACTATTAATCCAAAAATATATAGAGAGAAAAAAAATCATATCTCTCTATATATTTTTGATTAAAAGCCCATTTCTATTAAATTAAAATGTCTTCCTAATTAAATTTCCTAATTAAATAGACACTTTCTAAGCACTTTTATTGCCACCAAACTGCGGAGAGGCAAGACAAAGCTAGTTTCTAAAACCGCATATTTTAATAGGAGTGTATCAACTTTAATAGTTATTTTATATTCTACACGAAATTGGATTGGAAATATAAGTATTTCCTAAGAAACTAACAATCTGAGAATTTAACTATTAATTATGCCGACCGATATTTAGCTAATCAATGTTCGTTTCTGTATCATTAATCTCGTTACGCCAAAAATAAGTACATCATTAATCTTCATTAATCTCATTTGTTTTGAACAGCGAATGTGACTACAAGATGTTACTCTGTAGTAGAAAAGAAACTGAATCTCCGACACAGATACATTTCCGAATTCAATGCTAGTGTAGTTAGGTAGTGACTATTTTTAATATATTTTAGAGTATTTTATGACAGAGTCAACATTTTAT